TGGGTCATCATCACTCTCAAAAGGCACGCACAAGCTTTCAACGTCACAACATTCAAGCAACTTCTTCACCGGTCCAAATTTAAATTATTTCAAAAAATTTATAGCTTTGGCTGACACCACACTCACCCAATAATCAATATGTGAATGGACATTGTTGAACTAAATTAGATTAGTTATATGCCAATCAAATAAATTGGAGAATAAAAATCTACAAATAAATACTAACATACTTGTAATATAGTCAAGTTTTGATCCATCAAATATCATATTTATACTCTCAATCCATGAGGCTCTGTCAGACTAAGATTCCTTCGTTTTTTTCCAAACTATCTGATGCCACAATTACTCAAACAATTGAGAATTGAACTTTGATTGTTGAATTAAAATGGGTTGATTTTATGCCAATCATATCTCCAAATAATAAATAATTGAATTTTGATCGTTCAACTTATCCAATTAATTTTATGACAATCATATCTACTGACTTGAAATTAAAAAAATCTTTAAATACATACATATATGTAATTTTTTCAACTTTTGGCCAAGAAAATTTCATATTTCTTCCCCCAATCACATGTGTGGCTATTAAATGTAAAATCCCATGTCTTTGTTTGAGAAACCATTGATGAGAAGTTGAGATCATTCAAGTTGAACTATTCCTGAAAACTAGCTGATTTCCGTTTGAAAGACCTGCGGTTAAGCTTTCATTTCAAAAACAATATCTTTTTGTACATTTTTGGTTTTAGAACTGGATGGGAATTGTATCAATAGATAAAATATGGGAACCAATAGGTTAATTACAAACATAATAAAAGCTTTACAATGATTTTCCAATTCTATTATCCAGCACAACACCTAAAGCATAAAGCGTCATGAAAGGACCCAGTTTTCCTCTAAATTATTTTTGGGGTATTTACATACATACCACGCAATTCTTATGTACTTACATATCTAGCACCTAAACTTCATGACTTTTAAAAGTGAAATACACCTTTTCGTGCGTAGGTAAAGTGGCATATATGTAAAAATTGAAGTTTAGGTGTTAGATAGGTAAATAAACAAGAATTGAATGGTATGCATGTAATCTTCCATTATTTATTCATCTAATGTCCTCGCTATCATGGCTCAAATAACCAAGAAATAAATGGTATTCATCCTAAGGAAGACAGTAATCCTTGCATACAAGATTAATAGCACAAGCAATTCTAAGAACAAGCATGATTAATATCAAAAACATCATCGCAAACATTATAAATCTCTAACAAAATTCATCGCATAGAGCTCTAGCTGCACATGCAAAAACTATTTACTTTAAAAACAAGATGAATAGAAAATACCCTTAATGGGTGGGGGCTATGTGCATGAACGCTTGAAGTTATCATAAAAAGCCAGCAACTTTCTCGCCCTCGAAAATAAGCCAGTTGCTGAATTCCGTGCATTGCTGAAAGCTATAACCCAATGTTGAAAGTGTATAGCTCTGCCAAGATTTCATTCCCCAGGTTTTGAAA